ATGAAAAATCAAATACAAGTAAAGTACATTAAGACTAATTCTATCTAAATTTAAACTACTCCTATGTAGATTGGATCTACTCCTAGGATAGATAAGAAATGAAAATCAAGTAATGTATTGATTTGTTGGTCCTCTTTACAATAGAGCCATCAATGACAATTTATACAAAAAAAATATATGAAAAAACTTCTATTATCTAACCACCCATATAACTTTCACCTTCTTATATTGTCACTTGTCCTCCATCCCTTGAATCTTTAAAACTTGACTTAACTTCTCTTAACTTTTAAGATTTTCCTGTATAATCATAATAATAACTTCTCTTATATATATGTATCAAACAATTTATTTTATTTTAATACTTAAATTTTCATCAAATATGTTTTAATTTAAAAAATTCAACATTCAATTTTTTATATTATTAATTTGAACAAACACCACCCACCTCATCCACAGAAGTCAATACCGTCCAATGACATTGCATTACCAGTATTTATACCATAGTTGAAGAAGGGTTGATGTAAATTCACATGCAAGTGGGGGGGCTCTTTAGGAGCTGTCAAATGTATCTTGTTCATGGATGGGGAAACCACTGGTTGCCTTATTCTACAATGGGGATGTATCTTCTAAAAAATTGAATAATGGGACCCATTATACATATATGCAATACACCTATCTATCTTTATACTGCTGAAGTCCAAAGATGATGATGATGATAGGGATTGGGGATAGAGATGGGGATTGATGGTTTTGGGTCCCACACTAACTTACTGATTTTATATTGGCCAATGACAAAACTACTCTCTCACTGCATCACATGACTTCATTAGTTGGAAGAAGCTCCCAAAGGGTGTCTCATGTTCCTAGGTCCTTGTTATGCTCCCTATCATCATATAATTCTAAAATATTATAGAATATATATCTATATAATACACTTATATAGTCGAAATACACTTATCTAATATATATATATATATATATGGGTAAAATACACTTATCTCTTAAAATCTAACCAAAAAAAAAAATACAGTTGATTTTAAGATTTTAATTTACATTAAGCTTGATCTTTTTTAATTGTAGTTTATTAGTTATATAATTATATATATTATCAACTATTTTCTATTAAAATATATATTTATTTTTATTCATGTTAATATTTACTCGTTATTGACATTAGTTTCGTTATCTTTAATCATACAAGGAGAAAATTGATATAATTATATCATAAATGCAAGACTAATTGAGAAAACAATATATACAGTATATATAAGTAAACAAAAGATGGTGGAAATAGCTGAATCTCCTCATCATCATCCACATGCATCCTTTCTTAACTTCTGCTGTGTTCAGCTTAAAAACTGATCCCATGTGCCTTCTTTCCTTGCTTGACGTCACTCTCTCTCTCTCTCTCTCTCTCTCTCTGATAGTGATTCGTCAACTACTGCTTCTTGTGATATATGCTTTTTTTTTTTAATATATTTGTAGCTGTATATGTTTTATATTCTATTTCCAAGTGGGCCAATTAATCAGACCTTTCATAAAAATGTGTATAATTTAAATGCCACTTCATTTCTTCTATGCCTTGTGCTATTGATTGGTTGGTAAGATTTTGTGATGATATATGGAAAATTTCATCTTATCTCTTTTTAGTTTGATTTATATGTTAATTATTTCTATCATTTAAAAATGTTAATTATTTCTATCATTTAAAAATTATTTATTTTTAAATGTTAAACAGATAGATTACACATGAAATAAAACGTAAAAGTTAAAAAGAATCTAACCTTCTAAAAAAAGATAAAAACATTGATAATATACACAATAAGGTTAAAGAAATTCTATTTACACAACATAATTATTCTCAGTTAACACCACTATCTTATATTTTTTTATTACCATTATGCCCCTCAATGAAATTACCTTTTAGGAAAAAAACCATAAATCCCTTCAACACCACACCAGACACCACTATCATCAATACCAGCAACCGGTCCTCTTCTCCTCAACCTAGTCACTACCATTACCATATTCCCAGCCCCATCCCTGCCTCCACCACCATGCGATCTATATCAGATCTAAGTAGATCCATTCATCTTCTTCGTCGGAAAATATATCATCTTCTTCGTCGGAGTTGATTTCAATGCTTGGTGATTATCAATGAACCCCGATCAATGGAGAAATATATGATCACCGGTGGTCCTCTTCCATGACAAACACGGTGACAGAAAAATGTAGAAAAAAAAACGAGAGAGGAAGGGAAGCAAAAAGGAGAGAGAGAGGAAAGGACTTTTGGGTGTAGTGAAAAAGTTATGGGATTAAATGGAGATCACATGTTTCCCATGGGACCTATGGGTAATTTCCCCTTATTTGTATCATTTAAAAATTATTTATTTTTAAATGTTAAATAGATTAGATTACACATGAAATAAAACATAAAGGTTAAAAAGAATTTAACCTTTTAAAAAAATGATAAAAACATCGATAATATACACAATAAGGTTAAAAGAAATTCTATTTACACAACATAATTATTCTCAGTTAACACCACTATCTTATATTTTTTTTTATTACCATTATTCCCCTCAATGAAATTACCTTTTAGGAAAAAATCATAAATCCCTTCAACACCACACCAGACACCACTATCATCAATACCAGCAACCGGTCCTCTTCTCCTCAGCCTAGTCGCTGCCATTACCATATTCCCAGCCCCATCCCTGCCTCCACCACCATGCAACCACCACCATCCACGTTAACCCACTACCATTGTACCTCCAAACCCTAACAACCCACCACTATCACAACTCACCTCCGATCAGTGACTGATCACGCACAGTCCATAGAGAGAGAGATAAAGAGAGATCTATGTTTGAAGAAAGAAAAAGAAAGAGATTTGTGGCACTACAACAACAGCATCGCAATGGGTATAGATAGCGGCAGTTGTACGTTGCAGTAGTGAGGGGGCTGTATAGGTGGTGGGGCAATGGCGGTGAGAGGCTACAATGGTAGTGAGACAGTGGCGGTAGGGGCTACGATGGTAGTGAGGCATCAGAGGTGAGGGTTGGTGACCAGAGGGACTAGGTAGAGAGCACTAGAAGAGTGTTGAAATGAGGAGGAGATGATAGTGGTTACCATCGGTGGACAGTGGGCAAGGGTTAGGGTTACGGTTTATTGTAGGAAATGAGAGTAATATGGTATTATATGAAAATTAGAAGTGTAAATTTGGTCCAGTCCACCCAGGATTGGGCTGGCCTACTGTCGAGCCGCGTGGGTTTCAGCCAAAATTTGGGCCAGGTCGACCCACGGGTAAGACAATTAGGCTAAAGCCCAGCCCTAGGGGTACTCTGGCCTTGAGTGGGCTGGCGGGGGAGGCCAGCGGGCCTGGGCCTAGGCTCAAGCTTGAGGCAGGCCTGAGTCGAGCTTAACCAATTTTTTTTTGTTTTTCTATTTTTTTTCATCAAAATTTTATTTTTTTAATCAAAAATAACACCAAATCTCGAGCGAACCAAATCTCTTGTAGGGTTTTGAATGGGGTTTGAGTGGGCCGATGGGCCGAATCTAACGAGTCGGTTCGGGTCGGTTCGGGTCATTTTCAAAACAAACTGCCCTAGCTGAGCCTCAAGCCCAAGGTCTCCGGCTGAGCTCAAGCCTGAGCTGGGCTTCGAGTGGGCTTCAGGTAGGCCGCAAACCGATGGGCCAAATTTACCCCCGTAAGGACAATTGGTGGTGTATATTAAAATAAAATCAACACATTCAATTTGTGTGTAATGTGAACTGAATAAATGGTGTGTACTGAGACAAATGATGGTATGCAAACAAAATTTCCCTAAGGTTAAGTATGTATAAAGAGCATGAAATTACTATCAATTTGTTAGATTATGAAGTCAAGTAATCCACTTTAATGAATTCTATGAACTAGTGTATGGATTGACAAATATATATATATATATATATAATGTAATTTTAAGGGTAAATTACATTTTGTTCCTTTTGTATTTGGTCACTTTTTCACTTTAGCTATTAAAATTTATTTTTTTCCCATTTTAGCCTTTCGTGTTTCAAGTTTTTTTCACTTTATTCCTAAAACTAATTTTTATTCAAAATTAGACCGAAAATATCACAATAACTGTCACATAATATAGAAAATATATTATTATATTAAAATTTAAATTTATGTCAGAGGTGTGAGTCATATATAATAAAATATTTTTGTCACATGTTTATTAGTGTCATTTTTTGTCTAATTTTGAGCAAAAAATAACTTTAGGAGTAAAATGGAAAAAAAAAAAAAAAACTTGAAATATGAAGGATTTAAGTGAAAAAAATAAATTTTAAAAGCCAAAATAAGAAAGTTGCCAAATATAATGGGGGCAAAGTATAATTTACCCTAATTTTAAAATGAATTTGACTCATTTTTCAAAAAACCTAGAAAACTAATTATGATGTTTGATAATACAAGTAACTAGGTCAAACAATTAAGACTTAAAAAATTAGAAAAATATGTGGCAAAAGATTTCCACTTCATATACCCCTACAACCAGTGAAAATTTAAAAGGAGGAAAAGAAATAAAAGTAATTTGCTTATTCAACCACCTAAACATGTTTGAATAATTGTTTAGAAGATCGAGATCCAACTTTGATGTGCATGGTCATGTCCCCTTAAATTTCCCCTTTTATTTTTTTCTTTGTTTCTTTTCTCTTTTATTTTATTTATTTATTTATTGGCAGTGGTTGCCAACCCCTTGTGTGCGTTTAGTTGTTAATAATGTGAGCCTACTTTTGACATATACTTTAACCAACAATGTTACGTAACTCAAATTTTGTGGCTCAAAAGTGACTCAAATGGCCAAAACGACGTCGTTTTAAGTACATAACAACATAAAATGGCCAAAACGACGTCGTTTTGACTATTTGAGCCACAAAATTTGAGTTACGAGACATTTTCCTACTTTAACTACTAAACCCCCAAAGAAGAACAGCATCCAAAAACGATCAAGATCTCATGCTATTAAATTCCTTTATATATATATATATATATATTCTTTACCATTGAGTTGTGCAAAAATCTTAAAATATGTAAAATTCAAGACATAATTCAATGATTAAGAGTGCATTAAAGACGCTAAAATTGAGAGATTTGAAAATAAAAGATCTCGTGCTAAGGTTGGATATTTGTTGTAGTTCTAAGTACTCATAAAAAAAACTCGACAGATCTACAAAGAAACTGCCACAGTTGAGAAGGTGAGAACCAAACATAGAGAGTCTTCGATAATGACGAACAGAGGCTTCCATCAGAGAGAACAGGTGACACCTCCCAATTCCTCTCCTGCACAAAATGGAAGAATAAGAGAGGAAAGTTTAAATAAAAAAAAACCAAAATGAAAAAATAAAAATAAAAAAGAGAGCCAGGCAAAATGTTAGTACTCACCCATATCATGCAAGTAATAATATGGAATAAAAAAGAGAATTTTGATTCAGAAATATCATTTTATAACGATGTGGAATAACATGATCGACACTATAAACCATAGCGATAGCGTTTTGTTATAAAATGAAAGGCTTATTAAGACCCAATATTGAAAAACATACCGTTATAGAATTATCAAATGACATTTGAGTTACCAAACTCGGTTTGTTCTATTTACCAAACTAAACACTCCAAAGTAGACTCCTAAACCACCTGGACAACAACAGCTCATCCTATTTCAATACTGATAATACATATGTAGATATATCATATGTCCATTATTATCGTTATACAAACTCGAAAGTCAACTAAAGTACAATTTTAGACAAATTAAATTGATAGTTCCTACATTTTACCTCTAATATCATTTTAATTCCTATACTTGCAATTAATTCAATTTTGACCCTTAATTTTAAATTTTGTGTCAATTGAATCCAATGGATAATGCTTTTAGTATTTTGGATGAAAAATTATCATTAAATTTGTTAAAGTTAACTTACTGAGTTGAACAAACTTATAATTTTGCCTTTCAAAACATGACATGTCACTTGAGTGCATATTTTTCATTAAAAAATGCTAACAATTGTAAGCCAATTGGATTAAATTGAAACAAAATCACAAATTTATAGTCAAAATCGAGCCAATTAAAATTATAAGAACTAAAATGACATAGAGACCAAAACACAAGAACTATCTGCGTAATTTGCTCTACAATTTTTTAATCGTTGAAACATGTTAAGGGAAAAAAATAAAATAAAACAATATCTGATCATCTCAGAAGGCCAAATACATGATGACTTGATTGTTCAAAAAGAATGAGAAAGCAAGACCTCAAACTGTTATCTCATTATATGCCTTTCTATATAAAACGACAATTTTACTCTACACATACGTTACAGTTCCCCAAAATGGGGGAAAAAACGAATGAATTTGAATATGGAAAAGTAAATCTATCAGACGAGAAATATATTATGTTACGTACTCGTAGCAGCCATTTCTCTGGAAAGTAAATCGCCTGGATTTGTTCTCATGGTAGAGGATCATATACAAGTTGGTCATCTCACGGAGAAAGCAAGTCAGCCAAAATGGAAACCAGATGGTTTGAAATTGTTCGAAAGGTCTGGCAGCTTAAGAGTTGCAATAACCCCAGCTGCAAAGGCACTCAAGGAAGCCAAAACAAATGCAGGTATATTTCCTCCACCAAATAGAGCATCCCATGGACCCGCACCAAGGGATATAACCATCTGGGTAAAACAATGAAGTACATTAGGGGAAAATGCACAAGAAGTCTCATCCACCAAATATGTATGCCCCAAGGGGTAAAGAAAAATTTATTATACAAAAAGTATAACAATACAAGGCAAGTATGAATGCATTCAATGGCGTAGCTATGAATTTCATTCAAAAGGGTCATTAAACAAGTCATTATTGATGTCATGATATAATATTTTTAGTTATACACAACTTATCAAAATCAACATTCATATCAAACATTGTAATTTTATATATTCAAAATCACATCAACATTAAACTTGTGTCAAATTTCACGTAAAAACAAAAGCAAAGACATTAATACTATTGCTTTAACAACAATGTAGCAAAGATCTACACCTTTTACTTTTGTCCACGCCGAGTTTTCTTTTTCTTAAATTGATGCATCACCTCATTACTTATGCCATCAAACGCATCTTTTTCAATATATGTAATTTTATGTGTTTTTTCCCCATCCTATTGGGTTCAATTTGTGAATTCACGAATTTATTTTTATGTTTCCTAAATTCACCAGGGTCACTATGTAATTCAATGATTAAGAGTGCATTAAAGACGCTAAAATGGAGAGATTTGAAAATAAAAGATCTCGTGCTAAGGTTGGATATTTGTTGTAGTTCTAAGTACTCATAAAAAAAACTCAACAGATCTACAAAGAAACTGCCACAGTTGAGAAGGTGAGAACCAAACATAGAGAGTCTTCGATAATGACGAACAGAGGCTTCCATCAGAGAGAACAGGTGACACCTCCCAATTCCTCTCCTGCACAAAATGGAAGAATAAGCAGAGGGACTAGGTAGAGAGCACTAGAGGAGTGTTGAAATGAGGAGGAGATGATAGTGGTTACCATCGGTGGACGGTGGGCAAGGGTTAGGGTTACGGTTTATTGGAGGAAATGAGAGCAATATGGTATTATATGAAAATTAGAAGTGTAAATTTGGTCCAGCCCACCCAGGATTAGGTTGGCCTACTGTCGGGCCACGTGGGTTTCAGCCAAAATTTGGGCCAGGCCGATCCACGGGTAAGACAATTAGGCCAAAGCCCAGCCCTAAGGGTACTCTGGCCTTGAGTGGGCTGGCGGGCGAGGCCAGCGAACCTGGGCCTAGGCTCGAGCTTAAGGCAGGCCTGAGTCGAGCTTAACCAATTTTTTTTTGTTTTTCTATTTTTTTCATCAAAATTTTATTTTTTTAATAAAAAATAACACCAAATCTCGGGCGAACCAAATCTCTTGTAGGGTTTTGAGTGGGGTTTGAGTGGGCCGATGGGCCGAATCTAACGAGTCGGTTCAGGTCATTTTCAAAACAAACTGCCCTAGCTGAGCCTTAAGCCCAAGGTCTCCGGCTGAGCTCAAGCCTGAGCTGAGCTTCGAGTGGGCTTTGGGTAGGCCACAAGCCGATGGGCCAAATTTACCCCCCTAAGGACAATTGGTGGTGTATATTAAAATAAAATCAACACATTCAATTTATGTGTAATGTGAACTGAATAAATGGTGTGTACTAAGACAAATGATGGTATGTAAACAAAATTTCCCTAAGGTTAAGTATGTAGAAAGAGCATGAAATTACTATCAATTTGTTAGATTATGAAGTCAAGTAGTCCACTTTAATGAATTCTATGAACTAGTGTATGGATTGACAAATATATATATATATATATATATATATGTATATATAATGTAATTTTAAGGGTAAATTACATTTTGTTCCTTTTGTATTTGGTCACTTTTTTACTTTAGCTATTAAAATTTATTTTTTTCCCATTAGCCTTTCGTGTTTCAAGTTTTTTTCACTTTATTCCTAAAACTAATTTTTGTTCAAAATTAGACCGAAAATATCACAATAACTGTCACATAATATAGAAAATATATTATTATATTAAAATTTAAATTTATGTCAGAGGTGTGAGT